AAGAGATTGAGACGGTCAGAATTACATTCTGAACTCTTGTTAAGGTTACTAAGGGATTCCTACATCAACCATATTCGATCCGACCCATCATTTCCCAACACATATGCGATGTAACGGCAAAAGGTCTTGAGCTTTAACAAAAAGGGGGTGGCGAGAATTTCACCTTGGTTTGATTCTCCTGAGTGGCGCATAGGTGGGGGACACTTTTGTTTGTCGTAAATGGAGCCGTCACTGTCGTTCTGGAGTGGATTGAAGGGCAGCGTTAAGAAGAGAGGATTAATACTTCAATAGTAGATATCTATGTTCTGCATCATGCGTGATCCTTTTGGAACGCAAAGTACCACCTCATGAAAAATAGTCCCGAATTCTGAGAAAATAAAGGCGAGAGCAAATGGGGTTCAAATGAGTGGGCACGGGGACATTTTTAAAGGACACAGTTCACGATAAAATTGGTTCCTAAGATTTGTTGTAAGGATAAGTCTGTGGCCCTCAAAAAGAGTACATGGGATGTCTGGTCGAAAAACAGTCTAGACAGGGCGTAATAAGAGCTCCAAAACCGGCACCATACTATAAGGGACGGTGTTAGGCCGGTCTTGCTACTACATCACTATTTCACATGAAGCGTTAGAGAGGGATAGTACGCCTGTGTGAGAGGCACCAGACGGAAGCAGACGGCGATCTCGTACAACCCCTTTTTACTATTTTTTCGGAGCTTTATAATATTTGAAATCCGCCGATTTTCGACTGTCTTCGCCATCCTTGCATTATTCGGCACCATGGCTTCCTTTACTCCACTTGTAATAGATGCCTCAAGATCGTCGTGAATCGTGCTTTCAAAACAGAGGAACGGCTTGGTATGAGGGTCCGATCGGACAGGTTTCGACTGTCTATTCAGGCCTCCTCATCATGCGATCCATTCGGAAGGCGTTAAGAAAATTCTTTGTCGCAAGTTTTTTGATAGTTAGGACAAGCTTTGGGCCATATCAGACTCCAGCAATGACTTACTTCACATATTCGACGCTGTTCACATATGGAACCTAATGAATTTTCGTCTTGGATTTGGATATAGAAGGTTTTTTCGAATGAGGTGAAAAATCAAGCTTGGGTGAGGCATAGCATTGAAAGTTCCATAATTAGTGCATAGACCATGGAGATAAAATGAGGATGTCCATTTATGAGGGAATATAATTAGTGTCAACTGTCGACAGAAATTACATCATCTAATGGGTTCCAGCGATAGGGAGCCTTCATATTACCTGAAGAAAACAGCTGTAATTGATCATTCGTGGCATTATCTATTCGGATAATTATCGGGAAGCTCTTGCTATAGAAGGGCGCGTTGCTCAGTTTTCCCTATAGGTATTAATAAGCTCTGGACATTCCCAATACCGTGTTTTCCCTTTTACCGTAACAGATATCGAGACAGCTTAGTGCATCAGGAGAGGTACCATCAATGTTCCTCTTTACTGCAGCAGACTTCCAATTTCAACTTAATTACTGGTTCAGTTGCTTGCCTACTATGTAAAATATTGCCTGAACAAAGCATAAAAGGCTTCCCGGTGTGATACGGTCGAAAATTCATGAAATCTAAGGAATAACGTTGACGTTGCACCATCAAAAGGCTCGCACTCATGCGAAATCGAAATTAGCTTCAAGAGATACCACAGTGAAAGACATCGTTACACTTGGCATTACTTTTTTCGGGATTACGTTGATTCAGGGAACAATCTTGAAAAATCATCTCTCTCCATGACCGTGGATCTTTACTAATGATTGAGTTGTACTAACAGACGGCTGACGACTTGTGCACGGCTGACGAAAAAATTGACTGCAATGTGGAGCCGCGAAATATCCTGCGTATAAAAAAACTTCTGAAGCGTTCTAGGCTCATGTCACCCTGAAAGGATTTATTTTGCTGTGTTTCGATCACTTCCAAAACGTTTCAAACCGGCTTCTTGCTCATGAACACATCGTAGCTTCTGTGACGATCTGAGACAACAAGCTCACGATTTTCTGAATTTTCAGTTCTCTAAAAATACTGCCATGCCATTTTATGGAATCGTTGTGCACCAGCGACACCTTGGCCCCATTATCTTAGTTATCGAATACTGAAAACGTTCATAACTACAGCTGGCAATAACCCTGCTGAAGTAAGTTATTCTCGTCTCGTTCTCGGCATCTGAACGATCCCTCTGCTTCTTCTGAAAAGAATGCACCTTTAACTACAGTCTTCCGTCAACCACAGGACGAGAATCACAGAAGGACGAATTGAGCTTCCTGAGTTTTCTCCCAACAGGTGAATTCTGGCTGTGCTTCGTTCCGTTGTTTGCTAAGCATAAATCTCAGTCCCGTTAGCTAGAATTAAAGCAATACTACCATCGATTATCCGTTGGTGTCACATTCATATTCCACCAATCAAACTGGGTCCGAACAACCGGAAACTGTAAGAATTAAAACTCGAAGCAACGGGGTGTTACCACTCAGAATTGGCGCACATTTTGAGCAAAGAATAGCAGGCGTATGCTTTCTTATCCTTAATTGCATTCACTACCATTTGAAAAGATGAGCTAGTTGTGAAAATGCGTTGCCCATCGATTACAATAATGACTGATGAGTGATGAGTTCGCCAACAGGCAACTCATCGCTAACCGGCTCGGTTATTTCGATAAGATTCGTCGCCGATATCGTCAGTCCCAACAACAGCACCACCGTATCGATGCGCACGCGACTGTGTTCCTTTCGGAGATAAGAGCTGGAGGATTTATGGCAGTTTAATGCAGTTAGGTTATGTGAGTTTTTTTTTTCTTAGAAAAGAGTTCACTAGAAAGTCGATGATTCCAGCAAATTCTAACTTAAGAAGCGGCGGTACTTGCTTCTAAGGAGCACGATACCGAGAAGTGACTAAGATCGTTTTGTCCGTAAAAAAATGAATCCTGGAATGCGACGGTTTTCCCTTTGCAGCGCGATCCGAAAGCAAACTTGTATGGAGACTGAATCCACACAAGCAAACCATAGGCTGCTTTGCACAGAGGCAGGGAGTCATATGGTGGAGTTGGAAATGACGATAAATTTAGAAATTCTTTTATGGTCATGACAACGTTCACGACACGACATTTTTGTTTGGACCTCTTTAAAAGGGAAGGAGGAATTAGAAGGTACTCTGGGACTGGTGATGAACTTTTTTGCTGCACACTCCGGTAATCCAGTAGCTGGTCTATAAAATAACTCGCAACCTCGGCAACTATTTGAAGAAAACCTCTTTCCCAAAGGAAATCGATACCAGTTAGAAAAAAACTTGGGGTCGTGTTGGCGCCCGCGCATTTTACAGTGACGTTACATTAACTTTTAGTTTCTCTTAAAACTGTAGTTGGAAATGAATGCTTCCTGGACCACAGTGCAATAAGATTCTCTAGAAAGCTGCGAGCTCACCTGATACTTGAAAACATGAAAAAATTATAGGAACACTTGATAAATAATATAAATACTACAGGAGTACGATATGGAGTGGCCCGCTGACGGGCCACGCGGTCGTCAATGGGTATAGAGGTCCTTGGGTAGAAGCAGGAATTTCCCTCTGGTATGAACTCATAGAACGTGGAGCCAACGATGCAAATTTACGGGACGATTTTTGAACAGTTTCGAAAAGGAAAATGTAGACAGCCACTCTTTAAGTATACGTCAGTTATGATTTTACGATTCGTAGCACATTTGCGTTCTCTAGTGAAACTTGTGAAAGATCAACGATGTCGCAAGAGTTGCGAGTTCGAATAAAACAGATATTGTCAACATGCACCAATCGGACTGGGATGTACAGTCAGATCCGATGCGTCACATTTTGCTTCCAAATATTTCTTAATATTTCGAGAATTACTGAATCTGTCATGCGCATGCCTCTCCTCGATGGACCCTTTAGAGAAAACTTAGTAGTAACAAGAATTTTTCATCTACATTAAAGGCGTTCACCATAATTCTGGGGTAGCTCGTTTTAAGTGGGAATGATAGTCCTGAGAAGTGCAAAAAAGGCGAGGTATTCGGCGGTTCGGCATATTCAAAAAATGCGATGCTTCAAAAAAGTAGGGAAGTTAGGATTTGGACGGGAATATCACGACAGAAGTTGCATGGATGTTGTATCTGGACGAGCTGTTCACTGCATACAGCTGGCTGCAATAAGCTGCCTGCGTGCTGTAAGGTGTGAGTCCTGGTGCCTATCGTGACCGTTTTTCGACCCGACAGCTTCTCTTTACTCTTGAAGTAACAGTTTCTTAGTGAAAAATTCCAGAAACCGTTTTAAGCCTGTACCCTCGAATTCAAGTAGTCCAAAAGCTAAAATCGAGATGGTTTCACGCAGAGCATACAATGGTCTATGGTAATTCGGAGAAAAAGAAGTAGTTAAGAATAAGTTTCTCACGAAAACCTTGCAGAATACTTGAAGATTTTTTATTAATGGGTTTTATAATATTTATGTTTATATTTTATTTCTATTTATTTATTTATTCACTTTTTTATGACCACTTCTTCCGATGGGATCAAGAGTATAGGGCATAGGAACAGCTGAAATATAAGAGCCCCCTACCCGAAATCGTCTGGTACTTGCAGGTTACTTTGTAAGCTGGAACTACTGGTGTTGATAGAAATAAATTTGGAAGGTCATGAAAAATCCAGTTGGCGATAGTGATTTTCTACGCAGTGTAGGAAAAAAAGTCAATTGCAGGTTTGTTAACGTATTCAAAAAAAAAGAAAAAAGAAGGAAGTTCTATGCAGTGTATAGCACAGTCAACTCGTAGGAGTTGATCATTTGGTAGGATTTATCACATTTGTAATTATTGCCGATCTCGATCTCATTCCAGCGCTCCCCACTCTTCTGCCTTCTCCATACAGTCACGCTTGACTGCCGCACAGCAGCTGATACCGTATTTCACGAGAGGGGCGTGACCAGATGACTGGGCTTGTTTCGTCCACACGCGGACCTCATTCGATACCACTGGTGACTTGTGAACGTGATGGCCTCCTGGGACTATCATCCTTATTTTCCGCTTTCATCTCTGGAACTCCATTCACCTGGATGTTCAATGCCGCTGCCATATAGTGTTCCAAAACAGATAGTGCCATCCCTGCATAGTCCACAGTTTCTCCAGACAGAAAGGTGAGAATTCGTGGCGCTCTTAACTTCAACTAGTTGCTTTCTTTTGGGACACTAAAGAACGTTTAATCGAGTTTTTATAGCAAAAATATTTCTGGCAAAGCCCGTCGTTATCAACCGCCACCTCCACAGCTTCTACGAATGCGGAGAAGCGCTGCCAATGAACGCGAACGACGTCGAATGAACACGCTGAATGTGGCCTATGACAAGGTGAATTCCACAGTATGATTGGCATTGTTCCTGCTCGTCCAATATTTCTTCGGACTTACCGTGTTGTGCTGTGTGGGTAGCTACTGTGCTTTTATATTTAAACTATGCCAAAAGTCAGTGCTAGGACTACAGCACAACCTTCTGTGTCACCTCACATTCTATTCGGTTGATGCATGATTATTGCAGATTTGTTTCAACAAATTTTAAAAAACTATAAGAAAATTTAACGAAGACATGTTCAAATGTTTACTCTGGAACGTATCGGCCATCTACGTCATGCACTGCTTCCCATTTGCTAGGAAGGCGGATGCACAGGCGAAGAGCTTCCGATTCTTCGAAGCGATTCACGCTTTGACATCAGCCACCAAGTCATCCATTTCGTCGAAAGTTCTGTTCGTTAGCCAATTTTTCAATGGGCGATTGACGTGATAATCCACAGGAGTTTCTGTTAGTGAATATGGTGGATTTAGGGGTGGGCCCCATCCGTACTTGACTTTCCATCGCCGTCGCTGAAAAGTTCGTTGAGATCGCGAAATGACTCTGCCACGTTCCAACCTTTCTCGGAGTAATAGAGCATAATGTGGTCGATATGAAGATGACTTTTCAGAAGCATTCCTAGTGAGAAAAGTGAGAAGATAATTCCGAAGATTCGAGAATCCCGGATTCAAAAGTGAAATTTTATCGAGAGAAAGAGGCCGCGAAAAAGTCCGCACTTATTATGCATCAATCTATTGCCTGTCCTCTACTTTTTCTGACTTGATCGCTTTATTTTATTTAAATATGCAAGCTGAACGTTGATCCATGAAAACGTCTTGTTTAGGCGTAAGAGTTTCAAAGCTTTCGTTTTGGCCTTTGACCAAATTTAAAAGTTACTTACTTTTGAGCTACATTCGCCTTATTCTTTTGAAAGGTAACTCCACGATCGGAAGAGAACAGCATGTTCTTCGTTCAGTGGTCGTTGTCACCCTGCCATACTCAATTAGAATCATGAAGAAATCAGCGTGAAACTTTTGCGACTGCTCTTGAAAATGTTAATCCTTTGCGATTGTCTTTCTCGAAGAGCCTGATACGTTAACTGTTCATGGGAAGGTAAGATACCACGTAAATCCTACGATTTCTATTCCAAGCCTTCATTCGGCCGTGCCGACCCAGTTTCATAATAATGGCAGAGGAATCGTACAGCAATTTGAACAGTTTTTGGAGGTACTGAAAAGCCGATTTCATAGAAAAGGGCTCAACATTTATGGAAAAAGGTTGAGTGAACAAGCTACTGAGAACTAAGCTCTCCTTTCGTTCCTTAAAATGTTTCAATCACTGGAATGAATTCGAAATGTGATTGCCTTCCCTTTTCTGTTATTGTTCTCAGATGGGAACTCTGGTTTGTCGTCCGGAGAGTATGAGCGCGCTACAACAGACAATTTTTTTCCTCAAAAATGTGCACTGCGATTCTTTCTTAAGAGAGCCAAATCTATTGCTTTCAACAACGTGAGCAATTCGCTCAAAATGCTTACCATCAACTTCAATTTGGGCATTATATAGTTGAAAGTGAACCTTTCTGCTTATTTAACTTGCACGCTAGGTGCTCAAGAACAATGAAAGTTGGTGAGTAACCATAATTCCACGACCGGCATAAAAATAACAGGAAAATTCAGGATACATCCGACCGCTTTTATTTTGATACTCCAGCCTAAACAATGTAGCAGCACTTTTCTTCCAGCTTGTGATCTCTCGTTTTGGAAGTAGATGTTACCTGTTTTCAATGGAGCGTACCACAGTTTTCCCGTCCATCTCTCCTTGACACCCTTACAAAAAAACCCCAACAAGGATATTGCAATTAATTTTGGCTTTTCCGGTCATCCGAAATTTTGTTTGACCAAGTTCAGCTTAATCGCTCTAGTCAAAGCTACCTTGTACGCCCAAGTGGTCAATGTTGATATCATGCGAGAATGGGGCTTAGTTCTGGTCGAAATGTTCCTACACCCTGTAAGACCCTTTGTTAATACCTTTGTCTTTGCCTTTGTCGTTAACATCCAATAAAATAGAAATGATCTAAAGTCTGTTCTATTTCTTTTGATTGTCGTAGAGGAGTCTTTCAGTGTCCTGCTTTTTGCGAATATACTGGCATACTCAGAGCGATAACTAGTTGTTTTACCGAAAACGGTAATATCATTGCTCCATGTACTTCGTGTTTTGAAACTAAAACAATCGAACAGTACGCCCATATGTCACAGATTTTNAACATCCAATAAAATAGAAATGATCTAAAGTCTGTTCTATTTCTTTTAATTCTCGTAGAGAAGTCTTTCTGTGCCCTGTATTTTGCGAATATACTGGCATACTCAGAACGATAACTAGTTGTTCTACCGAGACGGTAATATCATTGCTCCATGTACTTCGCGTTTTGAAACTAAAACAATCGAACAGTACGCCCATATGTCACAGATTTTTGAATGAGAGGTCGACCACCAATGCACGCGACGATACGGTATCAATAAGCTGCTAAGGATGGTTGATTCAAGGACGTCCAGTCAGGAGGCGCGCCCCTACACACGCCCGGACCCAGACACGTTAATTAATGATTTAGTGACTACGTAAGATATGCACATTTCGCGCACCTGTTGTCTTTGTAATTATTTCCAGTCACGCCGTACCAGTTCTACTCCTTTCCAAACCCATCCCCTATCGGCTTTTGAGGGCAATCTTGGAAGACTGCTTCTGGAGTCTTACCCCTTCGAACACCTACTCCTTTTAGGTTAAACTCACTTTGCCCACAATTCGAGTGGCTGGGAAGAATTGATGCCGGAGTCGGTGTCACTTGTGGAAAGTAACTTTCACACCGTCGAACTCTTGAGTACTGGTCCTGCTCGCTTCAATTTCGGAATCCCAAGATGTGAGATAGACGGCTAGGATTGCCGGATCTTGTATAGTATTGTTAAGTGTTGAGTGGAACATTCGTTTTATTATCTCCTTGCTATTTCTCATCGTCTTGTAAACTATCCTATTGAAAGTGCTTTCGAAATGGCAAAGGGATGAACCCAGTTGATAGTGAACCGTTACAGAATCCCTGATGAACGTAACAACAGTTACCACATCTTGGGTCCGTTATCTTTCCCCTGAAAACGGCGTCGCGCACGCCGCACCCGCCGCGTATCGCAGGATTGCGATGGAAGATTGGAGTGCGCAAATTGTAAAGTAGGAATTCCTTT